CGGAGCCGCCGCAGCCCCACGCGCCGCCCAGGACCCACTTGCCACCACTGCCTCCGCAGTACCCATGGGGACCAGGAGACTTTAAAGGAGTTTGGGGTTTCGGGAGCAGGGAAATCACGGGTACGGAAAGGCGGCTTTCTTTGCCTTGGAGACGTTTTCTCTTCGATGGTTTGGACCCTGTGCCCGGTAGGAGGGAGAGGGATTGGGGGGCTGAAAGTGGGCTCCCCACACAATCCACACGCACACCCACACCCACACGCGTACACCGCGCTGGCTTCCCCCTTCCTTCCCTTGCCTCTTTGTTCGGTTATTTTAGACAGAGCAGCCTCGCCCTGGCGCAGCCCGATCGACTGTGCTGGGGCGAAGGCGAGAAGTCAGGGGCGGAGTGCACCCGGTGGCCAGATGTGCCGTGCAGGGGTGTAGGTGCACAGATAGGGTGCGTGCCAGCGTGGGCCTGGGACTGTACGGATGTGGGGGTCGGAGAGGGCCATCGCGAAGGTTTGCCTTTGTGTGCTTATGTGGCAACATCGCACCGGGGTACCAGCCTGTGTCTAGACCCCAAGTGTGCAAAATGTTGCTGGTGTGTCAGGGAAGCGCCCGGGAGTCTGTCCCAGTGTCATTGTGCGCCGCGCCGGCCGGGAAGGCGTGCGACCCGGTGCAAAACTGAGCGGTGGGCTGGAGAGGGTGGGGACCGAAATGGGAGCGCAGCTCTAGGGCCTCGGGAGCCCCTTCTCCCTGCCAATGGACCCCTCCGCCCTTTCCTGGGAGTCGGTCTCCCACGCCGCCACAACCTACGCTGTCCTCCCCACCGGGACCCCGCACACCCTCCAGCCTGCCTGCCTTTCTCTCCGGGGACTTGGACCCAGTTCCCGGAAGGAGTCCCAGGCTGTCTGGTGGCGTCCACTCTCGCTCCTCGGCCCGGTGACTTCCGTGCCAGGCCTGCCCTCTGGGGTGACACGGGAGATTCGCAGGGACTAGAGTAAGGTCTCCTGGGTGGGCGGGCAAGTCCCAGGGGCACCACACGTCCCGCGGGGGGAGGGGCAGCCTGACTGATCTCGCCTCTGCCTCTCCTCTGGATTCGCAGATCCCCGCTCCTGGCCCTTGCCTCGTGCGTCATTGATGGGCAACCAACTGGACCGCATCACCCACCTCAACTACAGCGAATTGCCCACGGGGGACCCCTCTGGGATCGAGAAGGACGAGCTACGGGTCGGGGTCGCCTACTTCTTCTCGGATGAGGAGGAGGACCTGGACGAGCGCGGCCAGCCGGACAAGTTTGGAGTGAAAGCGCCCCCGGGGTGCACGCCCTGCCCGGAGAGCCCCAGCCGCCACCACCACCACCTGCTGCACCAGCTGGTCCTGAACGAGACTCAGTTCTCCGCCTTTCGGGGCCAGGAATGCATCTTCTC